GCTCCTAACATGAGTCCATTCCACTACACCCCATCCCAGGAACAAGGATGGGAAAGACATTTGTGATTGTGAAAAGCCTGGGAGGAATGCATAAACTGATCAATTTAAAAGGGTTTGGTGGCCCTAACCGGTTTGGCTCAGTGGATAGAGCGTCAGCCTGCAGACTCAGGGGTCCCAGGTTCGATTCCGGTCAAGGGCATGTACCTTGGTTGCGGGCACATCCCCAGTAGGGGGTGTGCAGGAGGCAGCTGATCGATGTTCCTCTCTCATCGATGTTTCTAACTAACAAGGATGGGAAAGACATTTGTGATTGTGAAAAGCCTGGGAGGAATGCATAAACTGATCAATTTAAAAGGGTTTGGTGGATACAACTCCTACATAGTGTTATGAAACTGTCCCAAATATTTAGGAGGAACTGGGTGTTTATATAGACACCAGAATTATGCTTTCAAACTATGCCAACAACATGCCATTTAACATACAAATGTTCAAAATTAAATTGTTCTGCCTTCAAAAAAAGCCCTACTTGATAGCTTGAGTGTTTCTTATCTTTATTAGCTGGGGTTATGACACATACGTATCAGTGATGTCGCTAAAACATTTTCACTTACACTTTCCCTTGGGGAATGGAGACACTGCATGATTTAGGAAAGTTTTGTTAATCATAAATGAGGTCAACAGCCCAATCTCAAAAGAAAGCACCATTAGTGATATTTTCATGGCTTTCCAAAATCAGCCAGCTGAGTTTTGGCAAGCTTCAACAGGGTGGAGGGAGGAAAGGAGTAGCCAGCTACACTTCCACTAATGGCCTTCTGAACTTGGGATCCTGTGTCTCACAAGTTTTCCAACTGCCCATACAAACAAAAAGATTTTGCTTTTACCACTATTGATAGGAGGGAAGGGACCATCCCACTTTGGGGAACACATTTTTGTTCCTGGGAAAAATGGGGGGGGGGGGGGGGGGGGGCAATTTAAGAAGCCAAATGCTGAAGTAAAAATCCTACTTAACAATGAGGATTTACTGTTACAAGAAATTATCCAGAGTTTGGCCCACCCACGGAAAAATTTGAAATTGCGGGGGGCGGGGGGGGGGGGGGGGATCAAACCACCTTAGGAATGTTTATTTCCTACTTTACTCTAAAAATAGTCAGTAGCTTGCTTAGATTTAAAGCCAAGATACAATGTAGCAACTTAAAGAATTAATATTTATGCCCAGTCGGTGTGGCTCAGTGGTTGAGCATTGATCCATGAACCAGCAGGTCACTGGTCAGGGCACATGCCTGAGTTGCAGGCTCAATCCCCAGTAGGGGAGGTGCAGAAGGCGCTGATTGATGATTCTTTCCCATCATTGATGTTTTTCTCTCTCTCCCTCTCCCTTCCTCGCTCTGAAATCAATAAAAAAACTTTAATATTTTGTGAAATGTTTAATACTAAAAGTCATTCTTTTAATGATACTTTAAAGATTTTTGTAACAAGCAAAATATGCATCAGCAATTTTTGCTTGGTATTTGCCTCATTAAAATTTGTGTTATCTTCCCATCCTTACTTTCTTACCTACAATACAAAAATGAAAGTTATAGGCAAAGATTTATCATTTATTAAAGTCTTAAATGGGATTTAAAACTGCTAGGAGCTAAAAAAAATTTAGTGCATCAACAAAAGCAATTAGATATTAACACATGAAAGAAGAAAAATTTGGCAACTATATAGTATTCTTTTCAGATTTTTAAACATCAAGCTGAATATGAAAACTCATTCTCAAAGTCAAAAATGTTATCCAGTTATGCCGGAAGCCGGTCCATCCTTGCTGCTTGACACAGTCGCTGCAGGAAAGAAACATCTGCACAGCATATGTTTCAAGGGACCTGGCATATATAGCATATTGTTCTTAATATGTTTGCTCTCCTTAGCGCCATGTGTTTTAACCAAGGTCACCTCTCCGAGAAAGGTTGTTTCCCCAGGTGGGGATTTTTCCCTGAGGTTAGGGAGGGGATACAACCCCTTAATTAAGTGCCAGGCGGGTAGTTAAGCTACATAATCTTTACTCCCTGGAATGGAGATAAGAAACGCCCTAACCTTTGTAATAGAAATTGACAGGATTAAAATCGGCTGGTATAAATACGGATGTAACAAGACAATAAACATCAGATCCTCGTCAGTTCCTAACCAGAACTCCGACCAGAACTTTGGCTGGAGATCCTGGCTAGAGGTCCTGACCAGGCTGCTGATCAACTGAAGGCTGTCTTCGTGTCATTCTTTCTTCGCCGACTCCGTCCACACCTTTGGGGACCCCTGGACCCGCTGGGATTGGACCCCAGCACAGTTAAGTTCAATGAAAACAAATGCCTCTAAGAATTTCAACTCCAAGAAAACCAGCATAACAATTTTATCTAAAATGTGAAAATGTATTTTTGGAAATCAGCTGTCTCTTGTCCATTACTTCATATTGAATCACGCTTTTACTTTAACAAACCCAGACCTTATACTGTTTACACTAGTCCCTCCGAAGCCATTGAAGCTCCACCTATCTTTAGGGCAAAAGTCTAGAGCAGCAGTTCTCAACCTGTGGGTCGCGACCCCTTTGGGGGTCGAACGACCCTTTCACAGGGGTCGCCTAAGACCATCAGAAAACACATAATTACATATTGTTTTTGTAATTAATCACTATGCTTTAATTATGTTCAATTTGTAACAATGAAAATACATCCTGCATATCAGATATTTACATTACGATTCATAACAGTAGCAAAATTACAGTTATGAAGTAGCAACAAAAATAATCTTATGGTTGGGGGTCACCACAACATGAGGAACTGTATTAAAGGGTCGCGGCATTAGGAAGGTTGAGAACCACTGGTCTAGAGGGTCCAGATTTATTTTCACATTACCTTTTCTCAAGTTAAAAGACTTTTGGATCCAGCATCCAAGAAGGGACTTATGTTTTAGAAAGAGTAGAAATAAAAAGGAGGGAGCAAGAAGTAGCTGGGAGAGTGCGGGCAGTCTATAGAGCTGCAATTTTACTTCTTTTTCCTCCCCCCCACTTCATGGGAAAGCCTTTGAACAGAGAAAGCAAGAAAAGGACTACAAAATGTCCTATTCTTAGGGGAAACTACATGTAACATGGTTAGTGTTCCAGGTTAGAAACTTGCGTTCTTTTTCTGCACCCAAACAGGATAAGCACTACATTCTATTTCATGTAGGAAACTTTAAAAGCCCATTACCTGCCCTGGCTGGTGTGGCTTGGTTGGTTGAGCATCATCCCATGCATTGAGAGGTTGCCGGTTCAATTCCTGATGAATGTTCTCTCTCTCTCTCCCTTCCTCTCTATAATCAATAAAAACGTATTTAAAAATAATAAAAGCCCATTACCTGCAAAAGGTAAAATATATTTGTGACATAGTTGACATTTCTCAGTAGTTCCCAGGACATGCCTTCAGTGGCATCTGTCTTTGAATTTTGCAAATTATACTGTAATAACTTTTCAAAATGAAAAGTAGCAAATTAAAGTGATTTTATTGTTTCCTAAAAAAAAATAAAGTATTTACATGTACCTTGAATTGGGGGAATACCCTTACTGCTCAGAGGAGGTAAACAAAAATTTGTTACATTACTACTAACTTGAAAGACTACCTTGCCCTAGCCAGTTTTCTCAGTGGTTAGAGCATCAGCTTGCAGACTGAAGGGTCTCAGGTTCAATTCTGGTCTAGGGCACATGCCTTGGTTGCAGGCTCGGTCCACAGCCCCGTGTGGGGGGAACCAGTTGATGTGTCTCTCACATGGATGTTTCTCTCTGAGTACAGTGCCCTTAAAGGTCATAAATCACTTGTGATTTTTTTTGCAGTTTTATAATTTTATTCAACAATCAGCAGTTAATTCTTATCTACATTAACTGTAGATTTTTGAAAGTGGTGACACTTATGTAGATGACCAATGCACAGACCTTGTTTGGTCAATCTTCACACTCGTTACATTTTCTGAACAATGGCACCCAGATACGGTATGGCACATTCCTTATTCCTTTGGCCCAGTTTATCTGGAGTTCTCATCTCCTTCTTGGCAAATTTCCAGATCTGAGTGCCTGAGGGGCACAATTCTTGAAACCCACCCCATGCACATGCTTGTGAATGTTGATAGTATATTCTCTGGTCACTATCACAGTGACAGAACAACCCTTCTCCCACCCTTCTTTGCGGGAGCCATTTTGCCATGCCCACAATGGGAAGTACAAATCACTTTTAACTTGAGTCTCAACCCAAATCCCCACTTCTACCACCATGGCTTTTATTTTCTATGGGGGAAATGGCAGGCAAGGCTGTCAGAGGTCAGCAGTGGAGGCTTGACTCATCACTTTTCTAACTCATCCAAAAAGCACAAACAAGACTACTTTTTAAATCATTTCATTTTCCTCAGACTTATGGATACTGTAGTTAACACTCCCACCACAACCACAACCACCTCAATCCATTTCCTATCCTGCTAACAGCGTAACTATTTCTTAGAGTAGTGGCTTTCAACCCAGACTATATGGAAGAAGCACCTGGGGATTAAATTTTAAAGAGATTAATAGTTGGACCAACCCCTTACCAAATAAACATAAATCTGGGTAAACTTTGCAAGGTGCCAGGTGCAGCCTTGAAACTACTTTCAGCCTTGAAAGTTGGAAGAAATGAATGTCGCTTGAAACTCCCAGAGACTCATGATTAAATTTAAGTTTTTATTCCCCCTCCCTGGCCACTGAGGCTAGAGGAGACTGGCTGAGGGCTCATTCCTTTGTGAAAACTCTTGAAAAATATCTTTCTGGCTGGTGCCATTATTACTTACCAAGAGGAGAAGCAGCCTAGAGCAAAGCCAGAACTCAGAAGCAGGCAGGAAAAGCTATCACCCATGTATCCTTACATCAAATGATGTCTGTAAACAGAACTACACCTCTAATTAGTCACATCATTTTGGTTCATTGGCAATGTAAGAGCTCCAAATTGGAAAACAATACATAGGCATGGTAAATGGTGGAATTTAATCTTTATTTACAGGAGACTGCAAGATGTGCAATTCCACATAGAAGAAACTCACTGAGAGTAGAAGCTTCATACAGTATGTACAGTTTGGAACTGTTCAAGTATAGATTCGTTGTAAAAAGTGCTACAATAACAAACCACATTTAAAAAGAGTTCTTAGTAGAGAAACAGTAAGACGTACTTATACCAAACATAGTACACAACAAACAACTTTATGCCTCAGTTGTACAATCTAAAAGTTAAAGGTCCCAGGAGTGCCATCCTGAACTTGGAATGTATAACCTTCAGAGGTAGTTTCTGGCACAACATTTTGATCTTCCTCTTCCTGGAAACATTAAAATAAATAATTCCCATAAATATGGCATAATAAATAAGTAAATATTCCCATAAATATGGCATAATAAATAAGTAAATATTCCCATAAATATGGCATATCTCTAAGTAGTAGCCTGCCTAGAAGTTTGTATTTACTCTTAAGGTCTTCATCTGCATATTTCACCTTTAACCCTGCACACATTTGAAATAATGGAGGGAGGGTAGGTTGCTGAAACTTGCCAGTTTATTAGTACCTGGGAGGGGAAGGTTCTGAATAGGTTCAGAAATGCTACTATGATAACAGAAAAAGAGAGATTTCTTCTCTACCTATCACTTTAATAGGCAAGGGAAAAACTGCTTATTATGCCCAGAGTATAGCTATGGGGTTGGTTGACTTCTCTACTGACTCTCAAGATAGTTCTAAGACTCCCAAGGCCATTCATTTGAAAGTAAATTGGTGATTTTTTTTTTAAATCTCAAGTTAAAAAGATATCATGACAGGCCCGGCCAGTGTGGCTCAGTGGTTGTGCATCAACCCATAAACCAAGAAGTCACTGGTTCACTTCCTGGTCAGAGTACATGGCGGGTTGGGGGCTCAATCCCCAGTAAGAGGTGTGCAGGAGGCAGCTCATCAATGTTTCTATCTCTCTATCCCTCCCCCTTCTTCTCTATAATCAATAAAAATAATTTTTTTAAAAAGATATCATGCCAAACATTTGAAGAGCAAATATATACATTATGTCCCACTTACACTAATATTTTGTTATATTTAATAAGGATACAGGGTTTATTGAAAAAGTATGACAAAAAAAAAGTCCATGGGCTTGACCTTAAATGTCCCTTTTCCAAGTTCTTAATGTTAACAGGTTACTCACCTCTACAGAAAAATATTTCTCAATCAAGTTTAGTGACGCTTTGTACACCGACTCATTTTCATGGTTTTGTAGAGCTTCAATTTTGTCCAAACCTCCACATTCTTCAATCATTATACTCAGTTTCTCAGTTTCACCTAGTTTCTCAGCAGCCTAAAAAAATTCCAATCTATGTTTGAGTGCTAATATATTATCAGACAGAAATAAACACTTGACACTTCCTTCAACAACCCTACAAGACAAACACTATCTCCATTGTACATTTTTTAAAAATTTAAGGTGATCAGATCTGTACTTGCTCTCAGCAACTACTTCTATAGCATTGAGCTACAGAGTTTTGAATAATTCTCAACCTTTTCTGTTCATCACCACCTGGGCAACTTTAAAAATGACACTATATTTAGGTTCAACTGGTCTGTAATGGAAACAGAAAATTTCTGTTTTGTAAGAGCACCCCAGATAATCCCATAGTGTGGTCAAGGTGGAGAACCAGCCCGGCCGGTGTAGCTCAGTGGTTGAGCACTGACCCATGAACCAGGAAGTCATGGTTCCCTTCCTGGTCAGGGAACATTCACAGGTTGCAGGCTTGATCCCCAGTAAGGGGGGGGGTGGGGGGGGGGCCCCAGGAGGCAACAAATTAATGAGTCTCTCTCATTGATGCTTTTCTCTCCTCCCTTCTTCTCTCTAAAATCAATAAAAATATCATTTAGATAAATAAATAGCCCTAGCTGGTTTGGCTCAGTGGATGGAGCATCGGCCTGCAGATTGAGGGGTCTTGGGCTCAATTCTAGTCAAGGGCATGTACCACAGTTGCAGGTTCAATCCCTGGGCTGGTCTGGGTGTGTGTGAGAGGCAACCTAGTCAATGTACTTCTTTCACATCAATGTTTCTGTCTCTCCCCCTCCCTTCCACTCTCTAAAAATCAATGGAAAAATATCCTCAGGTGAGGATTAACAAAAAAAATTAAACAGTAAGCCAATTATCATCAAACCCAAACACAAATGATATCTTCATAAGACTTACCTGAAATATATTTGAAATGGCATCCAGAATAACCAGAATAATTTTGGTATCTTTCGCAGTTAAGAGGTTCATCAGTGGTTCTATTATGCCACAATGAACGAGGTATACAATTTGTTCAACTGTTCCACCACTTGTATAGTTGGTCACAGCCCATACAGCTTCCTTTTGTGTCTTAAAGTCTGCCTAATAAACATAAGGAAACAAGTTTATTTCAGAATGGTTGTAAAAAGAAGATTCTAAAAGTACTGTTTTAGAAAAAGTGACTATTGAACCTTAAATGAAAGAGATTACTGGCCATTTTAGCAAAGGACTGTAAGTAGAAGCTAACATCAGTACATCAAGAATCCTATCAAGCACAGCTTTTCCAATTGCCTGTCCATAAACACTAACAATCCTTTGATTAAGGCCTAAGACTCCATTACCTTAGAAAGAACAACAATGAGGAATGGGACTAATCCATGATTCACAACTTGCTGTATCTGGTCCTGGCGGCCAGCTGTGATGTTTGACATTGTCCATGTAGCTTCCTTCTGAATATTAGTTTTGGAGTTCATTAGTAGGCTGGGAAAGATGGCAAGTGCTCCTGCATCTATTACAACCTGCGTCTGTTCATCTGTCCCAGTGACAATATTTCCTATGGCTCTTAGCGCAGGAGTCTAAAATGGGGGGGAAAAAAGTTATGCTGACAGTTATCTTTTATTTTCTCCAATATTGCTCAAAAACACTATACCCCAAAAGTTTTTTTTTAATTTTTTAAAATATATTTTATTAATTTTTTACAGAGAGGAAGGGAGAGGAATAGAGAGTCAGAAACATCGATGAGAGATTAACCTCGATCAGCTGCCTCCTGCAGAGCCCCTACTGGGGATGTGCCCACAACCAAGGTACATGCCCTTAACTGGAATCGAACCTGGGACCCTTCAGTCCACAGGCTGACGCTCTATCCACTGAACCAAACCAGTCAGGGCTACCCCAAAAGTTTTGACAATAGGCTTATCATGGCCTAAAAAGGCAATGTCAACATTAGTATCAACTGATTATGTTCCTTATATTTTATGTTCTCATCTGAAAGTTAGTAACTTACCACAATTGGCAATTCAGTAGCTCCTAGGAGCTTCACAAGTTGGGGCACAACTCCTGTTTTCACAACCATTTCAATCCGTTCATTTGGACCATCAGTAAGGTAGGAAATGGCCCAGCAGCTATCTGCTAATACTTCTGGATCATCATGATGCAGGAGACGAACTAAAGTAGGAAGAATCTGCTCAACAGCATCTAATGGGGGTACAGGATTCTTGTTGCGACAAAGGTTTGAAAGTGTCCAGGTCAGATTACGTAAGTAACCACACTGCAGGAAAAGAAAAATGCAATGAAAAGTCCTGTTTTCTGAGGTGGTGGGAAAATTAGAATCAACAAGTGAGTAACTTACTGCTAAAGATGACATATCAGGAACTGCAAGAAGAGCCAACAGTGGGTCAACTGCACCATACTTGATAACCAAGTCTCGGAAAACTGAACCATCACCTGAAAAAAGGGCAAAGTTAATCCTATCTACTTTTCTAGTACCATCAATGGTCAGTGAGTGACTCAGTGCACCAATTTCTTAACATAAAGACAATACTCTCAGAAATTCCCTAACTTACTTAGATGCCACTTTCACACCTAATAACCACTGAAAGAAAGCAAGTTCAAAACACAAAGGTCACTTACTTATACCAAGCACTTACCCCAACCTCAGCATGATTAGAGACATTCTGTCAAAAGAACTTAAAATGCCAAGTACCTGCAATATTTCCTAGAGCCCATACGGCTTGTTCACTGATGTGAGCGTGGGGAGATGCCAACAGAGAAATGAATGCTGGAATAGCACCTCCATCTACTACAGCCTTGGTCTGTTCCGAAGTCCCAGAAGCAATGTTAGTGAGGGCCCAAGCAGATTCAAACTGGATGGGACTACAATCAGTTCTGCCCAAGAAGGACACAAATTTTGGGATCAAACCAGCCCGGATTATGTTGTCTATGGGTGGCTGTTTTTCCCTAGAAAGCAGTTTCCTATGGGTGAACAAAAAGATAAACAAAAGTTGAAGGTGATTAACAAATGAAGTTTGTGTAAAAAGCGATTAAAAATGCAATTCAAGGATTTAGAACTTTAGACAGCCTTTTACAGTGAAGCACTAAATGCTCAGATATCCTGGATTGTAAAAGGAGCTAAACAGATTGGCTGCAGGGTACTGCCATATGTGGTGTCTTTACTACCTTTTTTCCAAAATAAAAATATTACCAGTAGCGTAGGTCACCCTCCTCTACATCCCTGCAGAAATCTACTTTAGATCTTGTCAGTTTTTTTTAATCTCTCATTGTTCTTTTAATTTGTATTTCTCTGACCAAGTAAGGTTAAACATCTTTTCCATGCTTGTCATTTAGATTTCTGCAGTCAAGCTCCAGAAATTATTAATCCTTTCTGTGATGGGTGTCACAAATATCTGTGTATGAGAGATAAGTCTAAGTATACGAATTTTCTAAATGGGTGTGCCAATCAAAAACTTTGTAATTTTCTTTAAAAGTACACCAAAGTTGCCCTAGCTGGTTTGGCTCAGTGGATAGAGTGTCAGCTTGCCTGCAGACTGAAGGGTCCCAGGTTCGATTCTGGTCAAGGGATGCCCGGGTTTTGGGCTCCATCCCCAGTTGGGGGCATGCAGGAGACAGCCGATCAATGATTCTCTCTCATCATAGATGTTTCTATCTCTCTCTCTCCCCCTTCCTCTTTTAAATCAATAAAAAATACATATTTTTTTAATTTAAATTCTTTGTTTAAAGTATGTCTCCTTTTCCCCCATTGACCTCTCCCCAGCCACTCCCACCCCCCAGCACATGCCCTCAACCCCCTACTGTCTGTCCATTGGTTATGCTTATATGCATGCTTAACCATTCATCATCCACACCATCTATCTATCTTTTTCCCACCAAAACAAACAAAAATCTAAAAAAGCTAATTTCTAGGGTTACCCATGCTACAACAGACAACACTTACCTTGCAGCCTGAGTAGCTTGGAGCTGGCTTTCCAAATTGTTGCTATTTATGCCTTTGACAATGTCCTCAACAGACCAATTTACAGTGCCCTACAAAAGCAGTGGAATTTTGCAAATTATCATTTTTTAGATTAGATAAAAATAAAATCCCTTATTTGCCATTTTTTGGTTTATAGTCGGTTACTAAGTGTTCATTAGCCCTACATTTGTTTGCCTGTTAATTAAATATCAATTATATAGAACAGTCTCAAACAAGTACAAAAAATAGAGACTTAAAAAAAAAAAAAAAGGTAGGAATAGACCAGAAAGTAGCTCTGGACACACTTTCAGTTGGTACTGGAATGAGCCAGGTTAAGTTACTGAGCTGGCAGCTGTAAATGCAGGGAAACTTACTAGTAAAAGAGATCGGAGCTAAACACCTTGCAATCAACTTGAGTAGATTATGGAGAGTGGGTAGGAAAGAACGAATTCAGAGCAGGGGGAAAAAAATCTTCAGATTTTATAGCTAAAACCGTAACACTAGCAATGTTTTTAAAGACTGAAGTCCCATATTGGCTCTCTGGCTTTACCATAATTCATAAGCTAAAATATATTTACCTGGTTGTTGCGGTTTTCCTGCAGTGGAGACGTAGCATCATCGGGAAAGGAGCTCACATTTCTCCTTTTCAGCATCTGGTCATCCTTCTTAGCTTTCCTCAGCTCCACATTAACTTCTATTCGGCGCCGCCTCATTTCCTTGGAAAAAGAGAACATGTCATTTCACCCATCATTTCGGGTTTTGTTGCAAAATGAGGGCTTTCTTATTATTTCCAAATTCCCTCAGAGTTTTGATCCCTTCCCAATTATCTTCCCATTTTAAAAATACCATGTGATGGGGAGGATGAGGGGACAATGGGGGGATAAAGACACATTTGTAATACCTTAATAAAAAACATTTTTTAAAAATACCACGTGAAAGCAACAGAAGGTACTCACTGTACTGTCTTTCCCCTTGTTCTTGAATCTGTTAAGGCGGGCAGCTGGCGAATTAGCATTCTCGTTGGTGGACATGGTTATGAGACAAAGGGAGAAGCTCTAAGACGGGGGGGGAGAGAAAAAGAATTTCCCTTTTTTATCATTTTGCTTTGTCAGTAAGAGTGTTGATGGCTACTTCACATTCTTTTTTTCATACCAATTCTTCAAAATCTTGCGTGTCCTGTAAGCTTACAGCACAGCTCAAGGCTCGGACTTGCCACAGGCATTTGGTAACTCCCCCACGGGACAGTGCAGCTCTAGACTCTGCCACATGCAGTCCCCAGATAGAGAACTGAAGACAAAAAAACGGCGCCTACAGTTAAAATCTATGTCCCAGGTGCAATATCCAGAGCCTCTGGTCTTTTAATGGCCAAAATAGGCACATTCTTCACATTGAGAAATGAAAGAGAAAGTTGGTTCATTTTTTGCGTTGTCTCCCATAACTCCTGTCAACCCTGAAATTCTCCGAGCAGCTCTGCATCTTCAACATCCCGATAACATGTTCCTTTCTAGGAATTTCGAGGGAATGCCCTCCATTAGGCTCCTATTAGCTGACATCATTCAGACGCGGATACTTACGAGCGCTCTCCACACGATGACAAAATTTACTTGAGTCTTTCCGACGGATTTTTATTCCATTACGTTAGTTCACAAAACTGACACAGCCAACCCAAAGCCTACGTTTTGAGAGAGAGTTCCAATGGCCACCTCCACCTCCAGTCCCTTCCCCTGCCCCCCCCCCCCCATCACACACCCCGGAATATGCAGCGGCCCCCGGGTCCCTCCGGGACTTTGGCCCGTAAGCCTCGCTCTGATTCTGCGAGTCGCGAACCGCAAAGGCTCCCGCTGAGGTTGTCCCGGGCCCAAAGCCCGCGGACTCGCCTCGCACGAACAGCCTCCTCGTCAACGAACGACGCCCAGGAGGCCTGGTCATCGAAGGAGGCCGAAGCCAGGCCAGGCGTGTCCCCGGGGCCTCCCCTCCCGCCACCCGTCAGCAGAGCGCGGCCCGCGGTCCCGCCGGTACCGCTCCGGCGGGGCTGGGGCCTGAGTTCTTACCCACAAGCCGCTCAGGCTTTCACAGGAGACCGTGAGCGGAGGACGGGCTGCGGTTCGGTTGCTCCGAGAACGTCTACGGCGGCTCAGCTCTCAGACGGTGTGGCTCGCGCAGCCGGCCGGCGCGATTTAAATTTCCCGGCGGCTCCGCATTCTGATTGGCTGGTTCGAGCCGATGATGAGCGTCTATTGGTGGATTTGAAAAACACGTTGGGGGCGGGGAGTTATCGGGCCTAGCCGCAGAGAGCACAGCATCGCGAGATGAGGGAGCGGACTGGCGATCCCAGAATACCTCGCAGCTCGGAGGGTAGAGACTCCAAAGCCGGGCAGGGAGCGCCGGAAGGGCAGGTTCTCAGCCCGGTCTGCGCCTGCGACCCGGGCCTTTGGCAAAGGAATTGCGCGTTCTTGTGAAGTCGATGGTCCTTTCCCCCCAGGCTGCCTTAATCAAGTAATACGAATGATTCCCAAAAGTCATTCTCTTTAAACTTATTGATATAGAAATATATTGCTGCCCTAACCGGTTTGGCTCAGTGGGTAGAGCATTGGCCTGCGGACTGAAGGGTCCCAGGTTCGATTCCGGTCAAGGGCATGTACCTTGGCTTGTGGGCACGTCCCCGGTGCGGGGTGTGCAGGAGGCAGCTGATCGATGTGATGTTTCTCGCTCATTGATGTTTCTGGCTCTCTATCCCTCTCCCTTCCTCTCTGTAAAAAATTAATAAAATATATTAAATATACATACATATATATATATATATATATATATATATATATATATAAATATATATATATATATTCTATGCACAGTTCACCAGAGGAACTTGGCAGGCGTTTCTGGCCATTCTGGAGCGGAGGGACAAGGCAGATAGGTGCGACAGGTTTCCTTTTAACTTGCATCATACTGTTACAGGCACCTCTCACCGACACTAAATCGGATCCAGCAATATAGTCAAAAGATCATACACCATGACTAAGTGGGATTTATTCCAGGGTGTGTATGTGTTCCCCACGTCCCGCGTGGTTCAGGGTTTTCAGGATCTGGAAGAGGACCCACACACAAACGAAAGAGAAGAGACAAGAGATAATTTGGAAATATTGGGGGGCCAGACGGGCAAGTCCAACTCAAGGGTAAGGACTTCCACCGGTGCCCAGGCCTCGCCAGCCTTTTATTCAATTTTGATTACACATAAAGCCCTTAGGCAGGCAATTTTGGTAGCAGACAGACTATCTTAAAGGTCAGTAAATATTAGGATTTACTCAGACTATTTGATCAGGAAATAGCTTGAGCCCCCATTGTCAGGACTAGACAATTGGTGCATAACTCAGGCCCTTGCCATGGGTTCAAGGTTCACCAGTGTTCCAGGATCCTTGTTTGCACTTCTCTGCTAGTGAAGACAATGGGCAGCCTCCTGCACAGGGATGCAAGGCTGGTACAATATTCGCAAATCAATAAACGTGATACATCTAAACAAACTGAAAGACAAAAATCACATGATCATATCCAGAGACCCAGAAAAAGCATTCGACAGAATCCAACACCCCTTTTTGATAAAAGTCTCAACAAAGTGGGAATAGAGGGATCATACCTCAACATAATCAGGACTATATATGACAAATCTACAGCCAACATCATACTAAATGGGCAAAAACTAAAACCATTTCCCCCAAGAACAAGAAAAAACAGGGACGTCTGCTTTCACCACTCTTATTCAACATAGTACTGGAAGTCCTAGCCACAGTGATCAGACAAGAAGAAATGAGAGGTATCCAAATTGGAAAGGAAGAAGTAAAACTCTCATTATTCACAGATGACATAATATTGTACATAGAAACCCCTAAAGACTCCATCAAAAACTACTAGATTTAGTAAATGAATTTGGCAATATAGCAGGATACAAAACCAACACCCAAAAATCTATGGCTTTTTTATACACCAATAATGAATTCTCAGAAAGACAAACTAAACAAACAATCCCATTAATCATTGCAACAAAAAAATTAAGATAGTTAGGAATAAACTTAACCAAGGAGGTAAAAAACTTATACTTGGAAAACTACAGGACGTTGAAAAAAGAGATAGAAGAAGATATAAACAAGTGGAAGAATATACTGTGTTCATGGGACGGGTAGAATCAACATCATTAAAATGTCCATACTTACCCAAGGCAATCTACAGATTCAATGCAATCCCTACTAAAATACCAACAGCATATTTCACAGATCTAGAACAAATACTCCAAAAATTTGTACAGAACCAAAAAAGACCCCAAATTGCTGCAGCAATCTTGAGAAAGAAGAATAAAGTTGGAGGAATCACAATACCAAATATCAAGTTATGCTACAAAGCCACCATAACCAGCCTGGTACTGGCACAACAACAGGCATATAGATCAATGAAACAAAACTGAGACCTCAGAAATTGAACCAAGCCTTGATGCTCAGTTAATATTTGACAAAGGAGGCAAGAACATACAATGGAGTCAAGACAGTCTCTTCAATAAATGGTTTTAGGAAAATTGAGCAGTTACATGCAAAAAAATGAAACTAGACCACCATACACAAGAATAAAAATCAACATGGATGAAAGACTTAAATATAAGTCATGAAACCATAAAACTACTAGAAGAAACCACAGGCAGCAAAATCTCAGACATCTCTTGTAGCAATATGTTTACAGATACATCTAGGGCAAAGGAAACGAAGGAGAAAATAAATAGGACTACATCAAAATAAAAAGCTTCTGCACAGCAAAAGAAACCATCAACAAAACAAAAAGGGAAGCCCACTGTATGGGAGAACATATTTGGCAATGATACATCTAATAAAGGGTTAATATCCAAAATATATAAGGAACTCATACAACTTAACGAAAGGAAGACAAATCCAATTTAAAAATGGGCAAAGGACCTATATAGACACTTCTCCAAAGTGGACATACAGATGGCCAAGAAATTTATGAAAAAATGCTCAAAGTCACTGATCATCAGAGAGATGCAAATTAAAATGACAATGAGGTAACACCTCACACCTGTCAAAATGGCTACTATAAACAAATCAACAGACAAGTGCTGGCGAGGATGTGGAGAAAAGGGAACCCTAGTACATTGCTGGTAGGAATGCAGACTGGTGCAGCCATATGGAAAACAGTATGGAGTTTCCTCAAAAAATTAAATATGGAACTGCCATTTCACCCAGTGATCCCACTTCTAGGAATATATCCTAAGAAACGGGAAACACCAATCAGAAAGAATGTATGTACCCCTATGTTCATAGCAGCACAATTTACAATAGCTAAGATCTGAAAACAGCTCAGGTGCCCCTCAGGAGATGAGTGGATAAAAAAGCTGTGGTACATTTACACCATGGAATATTATGCAGCAGTAAAAAAGAAGTATCTCTTACCCTTTGAGACAGCATGGAGGGACCTGGAGAGTATTATGCTAAGCGAAATAAACGAGTCAGAGAAAAACAAGTATCACATGATCTCACTCATATATGGAATCTAATGAACAAAATAAACTGTTGAACAAAAGACAGAAGCATGGAACAGACTGTCGAACCTCAGCCAGAAGGTGGGGATGAGTGTACTCAAGGGTGGAGATTTAATTCAATTATACATTCTTATAGCATTATCAAGGACATTCTTAAGTGAAGCTGACTCCCCCCCAAACACACACTTCCAGTGCATGAAAGTGAAAATACCATTTGGTGCCACTGTCTTAATTCATAAGGTGACAGTTTTACCCACCATCACTTCTGCACCATCAGTGCTGGATGATTCGTTCATTATTATTCACTAATAGTGTCTTAGTTTCCATGAAAAGCATTTCCTGGATGGCTCATGACCCACAGATCAAACAGTGACACACAGACAAGATTTGAACTCACCAAAACTTTAAATAGTGCTTAACTCTGAATGGTAGGATTAGTCATTTTCTTTTTTTTTCTTTTTTTCTTTCGTTTGGCTTATCCATGTTTTATAGTTTTACAATGTATTATGTGTCCAAGAAGAAAATGCAATTGTGTTGTTCTGTAGTTTGGTGGTAATTTTGATGTGGCTGTGGGAGGATGCGAGTACCACATTTACCTACCCTGCCGTCGGGACGAGAAACCTCTCCATTTTCCCTTTCATCCGGAAGGAAGGAGGAGAAAAATAAATGTAGATAAGTGGGGTAGCAGGGCAGATTTAAAGGAAAGACTGTTTGCCCTGGAATCCCCCAACAGTCCACAGCACATAGTAGTTTATTAAGTTAACGTTCCTTGAATAAACGCAGGAAAGAAGGAGAAAGAAGGGCCTGCGAGGGATGGGAAGGTTGCGGTGGGGTGCGGGTTCTTCACACCAAGTGGCAGAGAAAGGTCCAGGGGAACTTTGTAAAATGCAGACGCCAGGTCCTGCCCAAGTCAACAGAATTAAAGTTGGGGGGGCGGGGCACAGCCGGTGGAATTTTGCTTAAAGTTCCCCAAGTGCGAGTAATGTGCACCCAGGGAAAAGAACCTCTCCAAACCCAGCAGACAGGGAGCGACCCGGGCATGGAGACCCACGCGCAGGCGCTCCAGGATTGGCCCCAAGTCTAGGCCCAGGGCGCACAAGGGCGCAGGCGCGCGCGCTGCCGCCGTTGGGGCGGCTTCTAACACTCACACCGCCCTACGCAAGGCCGCGGAGCGCAGGGGCGGGGCGTGATGATGGCATCGCGTAAGAGGGCGTTGTGAGGGAGCTGTTTGTGTGGTGACCCAGTGGCCTAATGGATAAGGCATCAGCCTCCGGAGCTGGGGATTGTGGGTTCGAGTCCCATCTGGGTCGTACAGAACTTTATTTTGGCGGAAGGAAAAAGGCGATGTACTGAAATCAGTAAAAATAGATTCTGAAATATGGTTACCAGTATTTCGATCGCTGCAGCGATCTCTGGGAGGGTTGTCTTGACAAATCAGGAAACGCATCTCCGTGTTTTAAAGACATTGCAATTGAGGATTTGTAAGTGAAAGCCAAGGAGTGATCCAAAAGTGGGGGTTTTCATCTTGCTTAACTTTTCTAAAAGAAAAAAGCCGTCTGGACAGATGGCTCCACTCCTTTTTCTGTCTGCCTTTTCAAGGTGAGCTTCACCATGGGCAGCCACACACGCAAAACTTTCTCCTC